AAAGACAGTGTAAACTTGAACTGGCTAATTTTTAAAGGATCAAGATTATGAAGATAAGAAAAGGAAAAACAAAGTAGGAGCACTGGGTGAGGAAAGCAAGGTGGAGTACAACTATGGAGGGTTTCAGTGAGGACAGAAAATGAGTTTAGCAGAAGGGAGGCACAGAGAGAGCTTGAAGGACAGGAAATTATAGTCAATACAGAAATATTAAAGCCATGGACTGTGGATAGTGGGAGATGGAAGGCTTCAAGTACAGACTAAGCAATGGGCTGGGTATCCATTATCCAAGTACCAGCCCCTAGTACTACAGCCCAAATCAATATATATAGCTAGATATGTGAGTAAACAGTGTAACACACTGATGATAATTATTAAGTAATACTACGGACCTATAGATCAGGCAAGAGGGAAACCCAGAAGAGAACAACTACGAGAAGAGCCTAAGGGGAAAAATAGTTTGGCCAATAAGACTACAAGAGTTCCTGGAGAGAAAAAGGAAGTTGAGGAGTTATTTATTTAGAAACAAGAGTAGGTCCCTCTAAGATTCTGCATTTCCATTACAACATTACTATAATGACAACCCAAATAACCATGCCAACAACTTGACTTAATCAATGACCTCACTGCTAAAAAATATCTGATCCATCCATTATATCTATCACAAAATTTATCACTTAAATTCTGGTCAATGAATAATTATTAAATGTCTAATATACACAAAGCCCTGTGCAAGGCACAGTGGGAAACAGAAAAATAAATAAAATATGGTTCTTGTCCTCATGGAATTTATCTTACATTGTTACCTAATATCTCTATTATTATGGATCATAAAAGGAGTTCTCTTAGTAACAAATGTTAAATTTCCATTTTTTTTTCCTGAAAGGGACCTAAAGAAATAATCTAGTACAGGAGTGGGGAACCTGTGGCCTCGAGGCCACATGTGGCCTTCTAGGTCCTCAATTGAAGCCTTTTGACTGAGTCCAAGTTTTACAGAACAAGTACTTTTATTAAGGGAATTTGTTCTATGAAGTTTCGATTCAGTTAAGGCTACACTTGAGGACCTAGAGGGCCACATGTGGCCTCCAGGCTGCAGGTTCCCCACCCCTGAATTCTAGTCCATGGTTTCTTAACCTTTTCTGAGAGATGGACCACTTTGGCATTCTGGTAAAATCTATGAACTCTTCAGAATCATGTTTTTAAATACATAAAATAAAACATACAGAATCACAAAGAAAATCAATTATGCTGAAATATGGTTATTAAAATATTAATAGCTAGCATTTATTGAACATTTATTAAATATTTTAAAAACAAGTTTAGAAAGTTAAGAAACCATGGTCTGGTCCACCACACTCCCTAAAACATAAACTCTTTTTATAAAGTCATGTAGGAAAGGAATGAAACTTCTCTAGAATGACAGAACTAAGAACACAGTGGGTGAAAGCTGCAGAGAGGTAGGCTTCAGTTAAAAATAAGAGAAGTCATCTTAACAACCACAGCTGTTCAAAACTGGAATGTCTGAAGGACACAGTGGGTTCCCCATCACTGGAAGACCCCAGGAATGGATGACCACCTACCAGGGATGATTTAGAGGGGAATCCTTTTCAGATATGAGTTGGCTTAGATGCCCTCTGAAGATCCCTCCAACTCTGTGAATTGCTGATTCAGGACAAGTGGTTATTCATTCTCTACTTGAAAAAAATTTCAAAGCAGGAAACTTCTGACCTACTGAGTAAAGTTCATTCAAAGAAATTCAACAAACATTTATTAAATATTGGCCAACAATATGCCAAGTACTATAATAAAAAGCTAAAGATTTTATCCTTGCCCTCAAGAAGATAACCATCTACTAGATCAGCTCATTTCATCTTTAGCCCAGATTATTAGGAAGTTCCTTCCAATGCTCAGCAAAAAAATGTCCTTCCTATAATTTCCATCCATTGGGCCCAGTCCTACCTTGCCCTACTTTCATGAGAATAAATTAAGAAGAAAATAAATGGTAGGGTGGGGTGGGGTTAGGTAAAGATATAAGTTTAGCTAGAAAAGATCAGTTCACCCTAATGAACTCAAAGTGGATTAAGTACAGACAAAACTGCCTACCATTTAATCTATTGTGTTTAGAATAACTGGAATACATTGCATTGTATCTGTTTCCCTGGCAATCATACCAATTAAGCTGGCAAACCATTTATCAAGGGGCTGATTAGGTTCATTCTACTGTAGATGATATAGTTATTATATTAAATGCTCAGAATAAGTTTCTTTGAAATGCTTTTAAATTTAGTAACACCAGGAAAACAAGTTGGGATTTAAATGAGCAATCACGAACATTTGCATCATCTTTAGACCGATTTCAATTTAGATCTGTGAATAAGTTTTTAAGGCAAAAGCTGTGTCTGTTTAGATATGGTGTCAGGTTCAGAGACTTCTAACTTCCATAAATGTGACACAAGCAAACTTGAGAGAAAAGGGTAAAGTCTCAAAAGGTGCCATAAAGGACACAACCAATACTGACCTTATGACAGAATTCTCATTGCCCAGTCTCCCTTGATGTATCCCAGTATCCCTTGATGTAAGCCTACAGTACAGACCACTACAAAAGACTGTAACCAGGAACATGCAACAAAGAAAAACAAATACAGAGACCTATGGAAAGCCACTCAGGTACCCAGACTCGCATGGCTCAGCCACATATAAGGCGTAACCTGCTCTTTAATTCTTCTCCCTGTCAACAAAATCATCTCCTAAATTTAAGAAACACTAGTGTAGGTCAAAGAATAAAGAGGTCATTTTCAAAAGATGAAATTTGAGCCATCAATATTTATATCAAAAAATGTTTGCAATCACTTAATGCAAATTAAAGCAACTCTGAGTTTCCACCTCAAATCCAGTAAAATGGCAAAGATTCCAAAAAGATCCTTAAAAAATGTTGGATGGATTGCAGAAAAACAGGAACATACTATTGGTGCAGTATGAATTGGTTTAGCCACCATAGAAAGCAATTTAGATATATCTCTAAAAGTAATAAACCACACATTAACCATAAAACTACAACTAGGCCAAAATCCCGAAAAGATCAAAGAAAGAGGAAATATATGTACATGCATGCATGTATGTATGCGTGCATACAGACAAATACACACACACACACACACACACACACACATATAGTGGGTTGCTTTAGGTTTTTTTGCAGTGGCAAGAAACTAGAAACTAAGTGATATACATTACTAAGGAATAGCTAAGCAAAGTATGTTAGGTGAATGTAATGGAATATTATCACACCATAAATAATTGTGAAATTGTGCTGAACCAGAAAACTGATACTACTTGTATGAACTGATGCAAAGTGAAGAGAACCAAGAGAACAATTTATATAATAACAACAACACTGTAAAGACAAACAACTTTGAATAAGAACTAATCAATGCAGTGACCAATCGTGATTCCAGAAGGCTGATGATACAGCACGCTTACTATCCATCTCCTGACGAAAAGGTGATAGACTCAAATTCCGAATGAGATACATATTTTTGAATATGGCTAAATTGAGAATTTGTTTTATTTAATTTTGCATATTTGTTATAAAGGTTTTGTTTTTCTTCTTTTTCCCAAGGGAAGAGTTGGAGAGATAGGAGGGAGAGAAAATATATAAATGCTTATTAATTTAAGAAAATTCAAAAGGAAAAAAAAACCAGTCCCCAAAATAGGATTAATTTTGCTTTTAAAAACTGGCAACAACAAACACCCTGGGAATGAGAGAAATTGATGTTCCCATTAGGGCTACTGACAGCAACTACTGTCTTTTTGCCCCATAGCTCAATTACTCTGTCTTTTTATATACACACACACACACACACACACACACACACACACACACACACGGTAAATAAATTCAAATAAGCAGGTTTCGTTGACCATTAGGTCTGTCCTGCACACAATGGGACAATACAAAAGAGGAAGATAGCAAGGACCCAGTCTTCAGGGTGCATATATTCTTTATGTAAAATAAGACTTATACATATGAAATAATTAGAAAAAGATGTGATATTGAGTTTCATGAGGGCAAGAAACCTTTTTTCATTTTTTTTCTTTCTCCTATTCCCAAAGCAAATTTACCTCTTAGTAAAATGTACCAATCACGCTTCTCCCCATCGAATTCAGGGACAATTGGCAGCTGAAGCATAACTAGTGGAGGATGCACCCTGATTACTCAATTAATCAATAAGCAAATGCCTATTATGTGCCAGATACTAAGTTAGGTGCTGGGGAGACAAATCCAAAAATAAAACAATTTTTCCACTCAAGAAGATTATATTCTATCAGAAAAGAAATATGCACAAATATAAGTAAATGCAAAATACATTCAAAGTAACTACAAGGTAAATTTGAGTGGGCAGTTAGCAGTAAGAAGAAATTCATGAAGAGGAAAGGAAATAATAATACACATGTGTAGTCAGAAGGAAGAAAACCTAAGGCATTGAATTCATATCCATACCATCATGTTTGTGGACTAAAATTTTAAAACTAGGTAGCTGTATCTAGGAACTTGAGAGGTAAAGATAATGATTTCTGTTTCAGAGATGTTGAATTGGATGTATCTATGAAACACTCAGTTAGAAATGCCCAATAGACAGTTGGTGGTAAAGGGGCTAAGAGATTAACACTAGATACAGAGATTTGAGATGATAATTAAGACTGATGATAATTAAGATTGACCTGAGATGATAACAAAGAGATGATAATTAAACCCACAAGATTAATGAGGTCAGCAAAAGGGAGAGTATAAAGAAAGAGGGGAAATAAACCAATTTCACTGTGTATTTTACAAATCATGTCTATATGCAAATGCCTTGCAGATTGACGAGACATCTAAAGTACTGTAGAAAGTCTACAAAAGGAATGCATGTACAGTACCACTCATTCAAATCAAAGGGGGAAAAAAAAGGTGAAGAAAATGCAAATCCCAAAACATGGTTCATACAGCTAAAAACACCCACCTATTTTCTTGCTTCGCTCTTCTCCCCGGTTATGTGCAATAATTGGAGAGTAAATGAAGGGGCTCTTGGTTGACATGTTTTGACCCAGTAAGCTTTTCATTTTCTGAGGCCGAAGGCTGGCTGGGAGGTTCAAGAGTTTCACACGCCTATTGATTCAAATGGAACAAAAAAATTACAAGCTGTTTTTTCCATTCAATTTCAGGTTAAACATGAAGAATTACATTTGTACAGGAAAAATCATTTTAGCAAAGTAGTAGAAAATAATAACAATAGCAATAGTAGTAGATAATAATGATGATAATCATTCACAATTAATGACAATAGCAAAGTAGTAGATAATAATAATAATGATGATGATAATCACTCACATTTGTATCTATCACAAAATGCTTTCCTCACAACAACCCCAGAAGGTAAGTAGGAAAAATATTATTATTGCCTTTTTACAGATGAGGGAAGTGAGGCTCAGAGACAATGCCATATAATTACAGAATGCTACAACTGGAAAAGACCTACAGGTCACCTTGACCAAGTAGAAAAGAAATAATTCAAATTTGTGTCTTCTCATTTTAAGTTGATGATTTTTTTCCATCACACCCAGTGAAACAAAAACCAAAGGAAGTGCTATAAAACAATAACACAAATCAAGGTGATGTTATAAGAACTAACAAAATTTACTAATGAAGGAACAAATATAAGTCACGAAATAAAAGCCACCATACTGAACAAGGGTGCAGCTACCTGCTAGCTCTTCTGTGCTTCATCATCATCATCATCAGTGTCCCATCCCCTAATTATGGGTGTGCCTGTGTTGGCACCTTTTCTTTATACTCTCTATTCCTTCTGCCTTGATGACTGTATTAGCTTCCATGGGTTCAAGTATCTCTAAGAAAAAGGCTACCAGATCTCCACATGCAGTACTAGTCATTGTTCTAAATTCCAGTCTTGCACCACCGACTTCATTCAAGCTCCTTCTGTGCACACATCCCACAGACATCTCACATTCACCATGTTTCAAACAAAACTTTATCTTTTTCTCCCAAATTGAACTTTCTTCTTAATTTCCCTATTCATGCTGAGAGTATCACCATCCTTCCATTTACCCAGCTTCAAAACTTTGGAGTAATCCTAATCTCTTCATTCTCCCTGACCCTTCACACTCAATCATTTCCCAATTCTTGGTGTGTCTTCCCTCATATCTCTTGTATCCACCACCTTCCTTCCATCCACACAACCACTTCCCTAATTCAGTCTCTCCCCAGCGCTCACCTGGGCCATCGTACTAAACTCCTAATTTGTCTTTATCCTTTCCAGTCCATCCTACATATAACTTCAATACGGATATCTCTAAAATACAGGTCAACCCATATCACTTTCTTGCTTAAAAAGCTTCAGTAACTTCCTAGTTAGCAGAATGGGCAGAGTGCTAGGAGATCTGAGTTCAAATCTACCTTCAGACACTTATTAACTTTGTGATGCTGGGCAAGTTACTTAACCTGTGCCTTCCTCAGTTTCTTCAGCTGTAAAATGGAGATAATAATAGCACCTACCTCCTGGGTTGTTATGAGGATTAAATGAGATACAGTTTGTAAAGCACTTAGCACAGTGTCTGGCATATAATAGGAGCTTAATAAATGACTATTTCCTTCATTCATTTTTTCCTTCCTTTCTTCCTTCCACTGAGATCAAAATCTATTTGAAATACAAAGCTGGCTCTAGCCTAACTTTGCAGGCTTACTGCACCTCATTGCCCGTTGCAAACCCTATACTGCAAATCCTAAAATAAAAGCCTGACTATGTCACACTACATATAAAAAAAGCCTACTTGCTACTCTCCCTATACAACATTCTATCTCCTATCTATATGTCTCTGCACATTGCATTTCATCTTCAGACCTTTACATATGATTTGTCTGTCATGCCAAGTATACTTCCTTCTCATGTCTCCATCTGTCACATCCTATATAAAGACTTACCTTTCTCCTCCGCTCTCACCCCCCCAACCTTCCTGCCAGCCGTTAGTGCCTCCCTACTTCCGGAAGTTACGTTGTATTTACTTTGCATATTTTTATTTTTTTATCTATGTACCTACTGCTTCTTTGACTGATTATAAACTCCTTGAGATCAAGGAGCATCCATTATTTTGTCTTTGTTTCCCCAGTTGTTATTCAGTCATTTTTCAGTCATATCTGACTCTTCAAGACCACATTTGTGGTTTTCTTGGCAAAGATTCATTTATTAAACTTCAGATATTAAATATAAGACATTTGTCTTTTCCTTCTCCAGCTCATTTTGCAGATGAGGAAACCGAGGCAAACAGGACTAAGTGACTTGCTTAGGGTCACATAGCTAGTAAGTGTTGGAGGCTGGATTTGAACTCTTCCTACTCTAGGACCAGTGCTCTATCCAATGCACCACTGAGCTGCCCTGTACCTAACAAAATCACATCATAACTAAAGTATACAATAGGTGCTAATAAGTGTTTATTGATTATGCTAATTTTTTGAAAGAGAAGCATAGATTATCATGATGTCCTTTATGTGTAAACATAATATAAGAGAATCACCATTCAACAGAGCATGTGCATCCTAAGCTGCTTTTTGAGCAGTGGTTATAGACATGTGCTAATTCTCCCATATTCTCAAGACGGACTCCCCAACAACCTGTATTTGTAAGATAAATGTTGATAGTCAAAAATGTGGTGAATGGTTAAAGGTCAAACTGCCTAACTGGTCCAACTGAGAATTCAGCCCATGACTTCAGCTGAATATGCATGGTATATAATTAAGTACTATGAACAGCTTCTAAGATTCTCAAGACTCTATATGTGAGAGAGCACGCAATTCACTGCTATCACTCATAAATACAAAAGGAGATTTCAGAATAAGTTGTTCCCAATCAAAATTACTTCATCATTTGATTATACCTTCAGACCACAAACCAAAGACTTTGAAGAGAGGGTTTAAAGGGGACATGATTACTGCCATTGAATAGCATGGTAAAGAAGAATACTTAGACATAAGGGAGAGAACTAGAACCAAGTACAAAGACTCAGATTTCTGCTCTAATTACAACCAGAGATTTCTAACAAAGAAACAAATGGCTGCCTTGTGAGTAATGAATCTCTGTCACTAAACATGTTCAAGCAGAGAAAACTATTGTAAAAGGGATTCATGTTTCATGAAGAATTTGGAATAACCTTGGAAGATAATTCCAAGTAAAAGGTCCTATGATTCTATAAAGTGATATAGTCACCTGGCAGATTAATGTGTAATAACCTGGTATACTGGCTTTAAATAGCTTCCTCCCCTATGACATTCTCTGGATATACGAGATTATAAACTCCCTCAGAGCAGAAATTAAGTTTCATTTAATACTTGTATCCCTTCTCTCCACAAGGGCTGAGCACAGTGTACTCTACATAGAAGATACTTAAGAAATATTAAATGAATTACATGAATTATTAAAGTAAATTAATGATTCTGACTCTAACCTACCATAATCACTGAATTCTGATATACAAGAAGCATTTAAAGGAATAGCACATAAGACTCTTTTACGGTCAGGAAAGAAAGCTACATATTAAGTGAACATGAGCACCTGCTCCTATTTGATCATTTCCATAAAATGTCATCTGATTATATTTAATAACTGAAGTATAATAAATGAAGAATAAATCTTTGTTGGAATTGCCAGTAAAAGACCTAAGACATTGGAAAAGTAAATCAATACTAATATAGAACAAATAAGACCACATTTGGTATATAATTATGCTAATGGTAACACATAGTTTGAAGAATAATGTTTTCAAAGATAAGTTATTTTTAGAAGTTCAATATGGAAAGTGTTGGCATTTTTAAAGAGCTTAAAAATAGAATCAAGTAACACTCCTCTAAATGTAATATTTAATTGGAATCGAGTAAAACAAGATTAGAACACTAATTAGTGAAGAGTCATGTAAATCTGAAAGCAAATTTATTGAGAGGAATAACTCAAACAAAATACTTTTGCTTATTTGATTCTTAATTTGTTGATCCAAATGTTTCATACATGGAAATTAATAGATGCAGTTGATTCTCTAACCAAACTGCATCACTTGTAAGTCACGATGCAGACTCCATGCCATCTCACTTCTCTCCTTTTGTTGAGACTTTCTCTGAAATACCTTCTCTTCACATCTCCAGCCTAATGAAATCCTAGCCATACTTCAAGTCACAATTCAAATGCTACTTCCTCTAGGTACCTTTCCTTGACCCGTGATCCTGAAATCAGAAATGTTCTTCCCGTCCATAGACATTTCTAGGCTACTTGTTTTGCTTCTACATAATTCACTTAAAACATTCCACTTTGTATCATTATTAGTTGTGCATACATTGTATCCCCCTACTAGGATGCAGCTAGGGGCAACTAGGTGGCACAGTGGACAGAGTGTTAGGCCTGGAGTCAGGAAGACCTGAGTTCAAACTCAACCTCTGACACTCACTAGCTGCTTAAGCAAGTCACTTAATCCTATTTACCTCCGTTTCTTCATCTATAAAATGAGCTGGAGAGGAAATGGCAAACCACTCCAGCATCTCTACCAAGAAGACCCCAAACAGGGTCACAGAGAGTCAGACGTGACTAAAACAACAACAATAACACTAGATTGTAAGCTCCTGTAGAACAGATGTTAACATTTTTTTTTACTTTTCTATCTTATCCAGTCCCTAGCATAGTGCTCTGTGATTAATAAGTATTTACTGAATTGAACTGATACCAGGCAAAATAAATAAACTATATGGGGTATTAACTCCATAAAAAATACCAGTTAGTCATACTCAGCTTTCTATCATATTTATATGCACATAAGTTTGTATATTTCATAACCTATTAATGTATAAATTCCATGACTGTAAGAACCATGTGATTTGTTATCATTATACAGCCACGACAAAACAAAGTACCTGATCTTTAAAACAACTTAATGACTATTTGCTGAATTTGCTGAAAAAGGGGAAAGAGAAGTAACAACTGGAATCATTTCATAACCAGTGTATACCATCAGACACTCATCAAAGGTTCTAAATTCCCAAGAGGAGGATATGTCATACCAGATACTAGGAAACACAGTCCACAATTACATAGTACATTACAGGACCTTGTTGTT